TCGGTGAAACAAAAATCGAAAGTTTTCCAAATTTGAAAGATTGAAAAAAAAAAAAAAGAAATTACTTGATATTCAAAGTTAAAAAGAATTATAATTTAAAACTTTTTCGACTCATAAATTAAATATATTGGAATTAAAAAAAACACGTAAGAATAACTGTTGAAAACATTCGATACACTCGATCAAAACAAATTTCCACGATATAAAATTCGAATAACGTCTCTCTACCGATTGTCGCTCTATCCACAACAAATTCAAGAAACAAAAATAGAAAGATGCTTACCCGTGTGTATCCTGATGTGCCCCTTTAGTTGCCCGTTATTGCTGAACGCGACGTCGCAGTGTTCGCACCTGAATTTTTTCGGCCGCAATTTCCTCATTTGCTTCGCGACCGCTTCCTGCCTCTGGAGCATCCCCACAGCATGCTCCACGAATGGCGCTTGTAATTCTTGCGGGAAGGTGTGCAACACCGAAGGGAATCCGCGGTAATAAAACGGGTGCCCCGTCGTCGCTGTCGTCGAGGCAGTTGGCAACGATGAGACCACGGGATCAAGCCACGGAGCATCAGAGCGCAGGGAACCGGGCTCGTTCGAAACGGACATCCCCTGAAGATAATCGATCGAGCAACGCGGCGCGTCGTACAACGAGCGGCCATTTAAACGCGATGAACGAGATTCAGGAGGATTCGAGAGAGGGGCGTCCGTCCCAGAAGGCAGTGGACAGTCGAGAACGGAATCTTTCGACGATTCCAGGCTCCCGTTCCTGCTCTCGTCCTCTACTTTTGACGATGAGCTGCTCGTCGTTCTGACGGAGGAATCGCTCTTCCTTCTTCTCCGCCTTCCGAAAGAGCGAGACGACAAAGGGATCGAGTCGACAGCCCCCCTTTCGGAATATCGACGATCCTCGTGTTTCACATCCTTCTTAATTGCATCTTCTTGCGCCTCGATCCTGTCTTCCCTCGTGGTCGTATCACGATTGTCCCACGGCCTGAAGAAACTGGTGTCCCTGTCCTCAAACATATTCCTCCCGCTGTCGAACAGTACACTTTCGAGCAACAACAGCAATATTCGCATCTATTCCACCAAACTGAATTTTTTCAAAGTCTTTCGTTACCTTGCTTGACGAGCCTCCCCACTCGATCGACGAATAATTTAAGGTTCCTCGAGGGGAAGCGAGATACAAGCGAGTTCAACTGTACGATGCGAAAAGTGCGGGGAAACTATACGATCGACCGATATACTCACTGGAGCAAAGCTCACCCCAGAGTTATATACGAACGATGGTGTCCACCCTCCAGCTCGGATTGGGTCGTTCCATCGAGGAAGGATGGTGGCACTCGCCCCTGCCACCAGGCGAGGGAGGAAGGGGCACCCTTTCTAGTCGGTAAGGGCGAAGGTAGGTTTTAGGAGGGCCGGTCGAGGGCTACGCGATACGCAGCCCCTTTTGTCGGGGATTAATCGGTCGCCACGGCCGCGCGGGGCTGTTTGCCCTTTTGTCACGAATGACGAGCCGATGGTATCGCGGAGATAGAAAAGGAGGAAAGAGAACGTGGACGGAGATATTGGAGGAGGGGTCGCCCCACCTCTCGATAAGCCCTCCGCTAATATTTTTCTTGATCAGTACGCTTGTATTCTTTTTAACATTTTTTTACGGGATTGATATATTTTGCATATTTTGAACACGTAGAGAGTTTTAATCGATTAAAGGAACAAGGTTGGAATGAAAATTTATATTACGTTTCGTTCTCTTGATAGATTTCCTTTTTTTGTGTTTTAATCTCTATCTAATAGACAGTCCTTTTTTTTTTTGAGTTTGGTTTTATGCAATTGACGATTACTGTTTTCTGTTGAGAGAGATTGGAGAAAACTTTGAATTGTATCGATCGAATTTATAGAATTTGTCATTTTGTATTTGAATAGTAGTGGATCGTTCGATGAATATCGTAAATGTATCAAGAGATTTGAATAATCTGCTCTTATGAATTTTTGTAATGTATATACAAATACAACGGATGGTTTCTCTTAAACTGTTCAATTTTGATTTCTATGAATTTGTGCGATAGATCATAACGTTATATTAAACAATGATCGAAAATTTATGTAAAAAATATATAGTACAGAAATGAAATTGAATAATCTAACGTATGACCAAATTTTGTTGTAAGTTTTAATCAAACGATATCCATCGAAAATTAATAATTCGAATTTGATAATCGATTCCAATGTATAAAACATGTAGAAATGAATGAAAATAAATCTAAATGAGTCAAAAGTGAGTTAAAATCAGTTGAATCCGATCAAAATAAGTTAAAAAAATTTGTGCTTTCACTTTTATGAGTAGAGATAAAACCGAATATCTCTAAATAATTTTCTCTCCTCCCCAATTAATAAAATTATTTTCAAAGAGAAATGTCATAGAATGTTAAAAAAATATATTTGATACCAGCTTTTATGTTTTACCTTCCAAACATAATTTTTTCTTTCTCCAAATTATCTTTCTCAATCAGAAAGATTTTCGTTTTTCAAATTCGAAATTCATTCCTCTCGACGTTCTATTACACGTGTACGTGTAATCGAGCTTTTCTATATCGTCGCGTGACAGGAAGCAAGGATAAATAATTTATACGATGGCCGATCCGATCGAAGCGGCGAGGTAGGCACTTTAAACACAATGAAAATGGGACAGTCTGGTAACGTCGTGATCTCTATGGGATGTATTCTGCAGAAGTTACGAGGGTGGAGCTCTGCAAAAGCGTTTCGTTGATTTATTGTAACACTCGAGGTTGAGCTACCCTTCGCGAGAACGAGCCATCGGCCTCCGTTGCCACCTATTTTCCCTCCAAATCCCCTCCGTCTCTCTTCCGCTCGTAGAACGTTTCGTCCATTCCTTTTATCCTCGAAAATACGATACAAAATCACAGCTTCCAGACACCAGCGATACCGAGAACAACCTTCTTTCCTGGTCTTCGTCACAAAATCATCGCCGAATATTCATTTTCGATCCGTCACCGTTTACACGACTAGGCGCATACGTTTAATCAGCGATTGTTCAATGGTAAATAGGAGAAAAGAGGGAAAGAGGGAAATCTCGAAAACGTCGATTAACACGTATAGAATATTTAAATAAGTGAAAAGGAACGTAAATTATAAATTTTTTCGAAATGAAATTTTTTTATTATTTTAAATAAATAGATACTTCTAGAAATAAATTTTGTATAGCTTATGTATTATATTTATAACACATGTATATAAAATAATCCATGAAAGAATGTAAATTCAAATCAAAATTTATTTTAATAGCATAATGAATTAGTCAAATATTCATTTTATATTTATTTAATAATATTTTTTTTTATATTTCATATTGAATTTTGTTATAATTTATCCTGACAAAACAAAAAATTGTATAATTTATTAATGATTTAATGAAATAAATCAAATAATTCATAATAAATAAATATTTGCATATTAAGGTTATATAATTATAAATTATGAAAATTATAATTTCTGGATTATTATAGTTACGGTTAAGAAATTTATATAGTATATTTGAACAAGTATGTTTGTAAAAGATTACGCATGTGAACAAGTAAATATTTAGTTGACATAGAACGGTCGAGCATTTTTTTATATGTTTCAGCCTTGACAATCCATTTGAAATAACTTTCTTCCAATCGATAGACAAAGAAATATCATTTTAAAATTTAAATTTTTCAAATAGATTCAATTTCATTAGTCAAACGTACTTTTTCTTTCTAGAAAAAAAGAAAATCTTGTTTAAATTGCCAAAATTTATTTCTTGCTAATTAATAATTATAATATAATATTAATTATAATAGCCAACAATTTTTCAAAATCGAAAAATTTTAAAAAACAATACTGCAAAAACTTCTTTTTCAAATTTTAGAAATCTAATATGTTTAGTCAGGAAACAAGAAAACTTTCTTTTCTACGCTGAGAAAACGTAGCATTCTGTCGCAATTTTGATGGATCAGCCGAATTCGAACAAGAATCCCTCGATCTGTCTTATTTTTCAATCTGAACGTCATAACAACGACTTGTAGCGAGAAAATCTCTAAATGATTTTGCAAAATTTGTCCTCGACTTTTAATCTGATATTGATTGAATAATCATTTTAATACTTTCTTTATTATAAAAAATATTATATACATTATATTTTTGATTTTATAAATATAATACTTCTTTTAATAACTGGAATTTTCATTATATTCTGAACTATATTATGTGCTGAACATAAAATCAAGAGAAATATTTTGAAGATAAAAAAATTATCTAAAGTTGTATCTAATACAACTGTAGATAATATGATAATATAAATTTTATGCTCAAAATATCGTTAACAATAACAAACTTTATTTATTCTGTACAGAATTATACGATAAAATCATATAATTGATATAAATATTAATAATATAATAATATATCATAAAAAATCAAACGAATCAATTTTAGCCAAATTAATTATTGATTTTTATAGAATACTAAAATATTAACTACTAAAATATTTTGATATTATAAAATTAAGAAACTTTCAGAAATATAAATTTGATCATTCTGAATGATTTGATTTTGAACGATCGCGCGCATAAACGGATTATAGGAATAAAAACCTAACAAATATAAATATCTCTAATAATAAATAGCTAGGTATTAATTTATTATGATTTTTCTGGTTAAGTAACCTCACTTTAAAACAAAAAACTTTGTAATTTATAAATGTTTTAATTTCTTTCTTTAAAGTTTGAATATATAAATCTCTAATATAATAATTATCTCTAATAATAGGTAGGTATTAATTTATTATGATTTTTCTAGTTAAATAACCTCAGTTCAAAACAAAAAAACTTTGTAATTTATAAATGTTTTAATTTCTTTTTTTAAAATTTTAAATATTGTATGTAAGGATAGATTAAAAGAAATTATTAAAAAAAAAGAAAGAAAAAATTGACAAAATTAAACATTTGCAAAGTTTACGAAATAAATTTTCATAATATAGGTAACTAATATTCATTTGAAATTTCATAATTATAATAATAATTCATTAATAATAAATAACATTCTTTTATACAATAACATTTTTATAAAAATAGTATTTATTTAACATTATCTTAAATATTTGATCAAAACTGTGTAATTTTATCTTTGTAAAATAATCTTCAAAAATATATTCTTAATATGTAAAATACAAACAAATCTATATATAGATTGCCTTACTATACATATACATATATACATTTTTTTATAGAAATTTCATGTTTGAATTGAATGAACCTAAAGAAGTCAATCATTCAATAAAAAAAATATGAAATAAAAAAACATTGCCATGCCACGTACCTCGTCAGATGTATTTGTACCGCTGTCAAAAACATATGACTGATCGATTGATATAGATTCTTATTTCAATTTTTCGAAATTGTAATTTTTCCCCCAAAAATGTGTTTTTGAACTCGAATGTCAACCACACGTGGACGATTAAAGTTGACTGATTATCTATTCGAACAATATAAAGGTAAATTTTTGATCAGTTAAAATGATCATCGATCATTTATACTATTCTCAATTAATCTAGATTTATATTTTCGAAACTAATTAAAATTTACAAAAATAATATAAAAACTTGATAAAAATAGGCTATATAAAGTAAAAGTAGACTAGATAAAATAATAATACAAAAAAAATGGAAATTATTTCTAAAAATTGTTAATAATCATAATCTTGTAGATATGTATAAAAAAGATAATTTAATTGTTTAAATTAAAGCTCTCTTAAAATAGAATTAAATCATCCCATCATAAATAATATCATTTTAAAAGTTTATTATAATTACAACAAATCATTTATTAAAAAGTTTTGAAACAAAATCAAGTTTTTATGAAAAATAAAATAAATAATATTTACTATAAACAAACAATTAGAAAATTATAAAAAAGATCTTTTCTACTTTGATTTAGTTTCCATTGATCATATATAGCAAAAGTAATAATATAAATAATTAAAATAATCCTAATAATTCTAAAATAATCTTGCAAACAATATTTTAATTAGTTGATCAAAAGTATGCATAAATACATATTTCTTTCTATAGAAATTATATTTTTATGACATTATTCAATGACCTAATATTTTGCAAATAATACAAACAAATTGATTTCTTTTTATTATTTCAGATAAATAAAAATCAACCCTCATAATTTTCTAATATAAGAAAAACAAGCATATCCATGTTATTAAGAATTTATTTAAAAACAAAAGATCGGTTAAAGAGAAAGATTGGTTCACGAAATTCACACGTCAAGCGTTTCGCCACGATACGTTGTATGCAATTCTGCCTGCTATACGGTTGGATGAGTGTCCATGAGTTTCCATGAGGGTTGAAGCCGTGGCAAGCCCCATAATAGCCCTCGAGCGAATCCCACCCTCCCCTAAGAACAGAAAAGCTTCGAAAGTGTGCACAACCGCAAAGTCGCCGCCCCTTGCATGGCGGGCCGAAATTTGATTATGCCCCTTCCACGTGAATGAATCCAACGGGATTCATCGCTTGATATCCGTCGATGATTTATGCTGCATCTCCTTCTTTTTTTTTTCTTTTATATTTCTCTTACCATGCCGACAAGTTGTCTTTGTCATTGTTTGCCGATGAAACCGCACGCGTACTGTACTAAAAATCAGAATCTTGTTCAGAATCTTTCTTTGAAGATTAGAAAATTTCATTTCAAATATATTATGGATAATAATAATAATTTGAAAAGTTTAATTTGAAATAAGATATTTTTATTTATTTTAATTGTTATTGCTATGACAATTTAGGAAGGATGCTAGGGACAGCTAGGATTGCTAGGACAATTTAATAAGAATTTATTAATTGAAGCGGATAATCGAATTTTAAATATGAAAGTTGCAAACATTCAAATTTCAAGCAGATATTACAATCTTAAACGAAAGCAAAATCACAAATATTATGATCATAAATATTACATTAATTATATATTTTAAATGCAACTATTGAAATTACTTTTACATGCATTGAAATTTTATATGTCGTATAATGTCGTATATATATTGTAAATATAAATGTATTATAAATAATTGAGAATGTTGAAATTATAAGATATAGTATTAAATCTTGCAATCTCAATTGTAATCTCAAATAATCAATTTATAATTGACTTTTTGACTTTTTTTGTTACAGGATGAAACAAGAACACAAACTTCAAGTCTATTCTGATTCTTTTTGATCATGGTCATGGTTTATCTCGTCAGCTATTAATCAAAAGGACCAGGAATTTCCACGCGAGTGGTTCCTTCATTGAAGAGAGGACACAGGATAGATAGATTCTATAAAAGATCATTCTGCCAGATGGCCCGTGCCCGCAACGAACAGAGAATTTCTTTTTTTCATTTTTCTCTTTCTCAACTTTTCTTTTAGCTTGTCCATGGTATAACCACGATGCAACATTTTTCATGGTTTTCTATCTCAAGAGCATATGTATACATTCTATATTTTCATGATATTTTTTTTTTTTATGTAAAAATTTGGACATGTATCTTTTATAATCAATTATATAAAGAATATTTTAAATTAAATGAATATTTAATTTGTGCACAGATTTTTGTAAAGAATGTACAGAATATTTCTATTTTATAGTTTCTTTTAAAAAAGTTTTTCTATTGTTATTTTTTATTTTCTTTATTTTAATTACAAAAAATATTTTTATATTAATAACAAGAAATAATATGAAATTTTATATAAATATAAATATTTTATTTTATTATTTCAGATTTCTAATATTTTTATTTGCGCGTAAAAAATGGAAATTATAAAATACAATAATATATAATTATAAACTCGATCATTGAATCATTTATTAGTTTTAAAAAAGAATTTCATATGTTTATTAACAACAATAAATAGCATAAGAAATGATAACTGCAAAATATTGTCGATACTTTAATATTATAAACAATATTCATTCATATCATGAATAATTGGAAAGAAATAATTGCGAATATTGATTACCATGGTAGAACAATTTTTTGCCGAAAAGTATTTGACGAAACATGGCGTGCAAATTTAACAGTGGGATATCCCTTTTCAATATTTCTTCATTGATGCCTTTATTGTTATGTTCCAATACTTTTACGAAAATATAACTGCGTGAAATATTACAAATCAATACAATATTACAAATCTATCATACCAATAATAATGTCAAAATTTCGCGGCCATGGAAGCATAAAATTTGATGAAATAAGTATTAAATATTTAGAATTTATCTTATATATATTTAGCAATTAAAATTAAATTTTTTTATTGTATTTAAAATATAACAGATTAATTTGATTAAATTTTAAATTTGAATTGTATAATTGTAAAATTTAAATATTGGATTTTTAATTTTTAAATTTTGAAATTTGAATTATATTAAATTTTTAAGTTTTAAGTTTTTTATATTTAAATATTAGGTTTTATATAAGTTTTTAATATTCAATTTGAAAATTAAGATTCTTTCTTCTTAATTTTAAATTGTTTTATATAAATAATTAAATAATTTAAATAATTTAAAATATAAATTTTTTAAATTTCATAGAGATTAATTCAAATATAAATTTTTTATAATATTTAAAAACTTTTATTTTTACCATGTTAATAATCTCCGATAGAATTAAAATATGCTTGATCATTTTACTTGATATTAATTTTTTTTGTATTTTATATTTTCTTTAAGAAAAATTTAATTCTAATAACCAAACAGCCCTGAAGAATGCTTTTGAATTTTATTTTTATATTTTAAGCAGAAAGGAATTAAAATATACTTCATATTTCTTTTCTATACAAGAATTTCTAATCATTCACGGGAAATCATATGATTTGTCACGCAACAGCCTCCACTAACCTTAATTTTCACGGAACTTGAAGAGAAATACATCTATACAAAATTTACCATTTAGCTACTGTGGAAAACCATAGCGAATTTATAGAGTGCTTTTCTTTAACTCAATAATACCTGGTCAACTATCGTCCCACATTATATCATTGACGGAGCGTCACTAAATACGTATGTGAATATATTTTTAGTTTTAATATGAATTAAAATACGTTTGTATTTTTTTTTCTTATTATTATTAATTTTTATAAATATAACTTTAAAATGTTTTTAAACTTAAAGTTTTTGATTATAAATTTTTATTATAATATACAATAGAAGATAACAATACAAAACAGTCTTCACTATTGAGAATATACTATTGCTAAGAAATCCAGAATAATAAATAAAAATTTGATAATTCAAGTATAATTTTCGTTATTTTTTAAAAAATTTTTTTTTTACATGCGATCCAATATATTCATTCTAACTTTCTTAATCCAAAAAATGCCTTTAAGCTACGTTAATACCAAGAACTAGCCAAAAGAATGTACTTGACTTGAGAGAAGTCAAAAATCGACAATAGAAGAACACGAGCCACGCCCAAGTGCCGATGATCGAGCGCAACAAAACGATCCGATTTTGTTCGGGATGTAGAGAAAACAGCGGCAGCACATGAATGGAAGTAGTAAAGGTGTTGGCTGAGGTACAAGCAGTTCTCCTTTTTTCACAAGTAAATTTGACGTTAGCTAAATAAATACATTGAAGCCGGCTACGTTTGAAGTGGTTCTCGTTGACAGGATGACCATGAACATCGATGCGATTGTTCCGTCATGGATAGTCGGCTTCTTTTCAAGATTCGCTCGTTTGCTCTCGTTTCTTTCTCTCTTTTTCCTTCTTATTCCATTATCGTTGTCAAAAATTGCTGAATATTCCTTTTGGAAAAATCAAGATCATTCTCCGCATGTTCTATCAATTTCGATTACAAAGAGTCAACTTAAAGAAATTCTTGCTATTATTTTCATTTTTTGATTTTTGCAATAATTTCAAAAAACATTTATGTTATTATCAATAGAGATATTCGTCTTTTATATTTGTTATTAAAATTTATGTTTTGTTTCGTTTGCTTTACGTAGATTCGATGAAAATAATTTTTTTCTTACAACAATATCTTAACAATCAAATCCACTCTTTTTTTTAAGTTCTTCAAATTTATTTTTTTTATATTTATTTGTAAAAAAAAAGTGCTCATGGTTTTACAACTATTACAATTACTGAAATAAAACTAAATTAAAACTAAATTATTTGAAAGAAAAGAGAAACAAAGTAATTATTTAAGAATTTAATAATTTTATCTAAACATACATAATTTTTCTCTGCCTCGTCATTGGCTACAAATGCCAATAAAATTAAACAAATTTGTATATTTGTTTAATTTGTATATACACGTTATACAATGGTTTCCGCGTATAGGAACCTTACCGATTAAATAATGTCGCTATAAGCGTGAAAATACATGAATATCATAATATTCAATTTGACACAGCCGGGAATCAAAAAATTATTTTTGCATAAACATTATTTTACTAAATTAATTATAATCTACGATTCACCGTGTGTTTTTAAATGTATTTTTAAAGTAGTTCTATTAATAAAAGCTTTAGAACATACAGGACAAGAATGTGCACGGGATAAGTGATATTTTAAATGTTCATTGAGTTGTATGCTTGTTTTAAATAATTTTTTACAAATATTGCATTTATGTTCTTCCTCACTATCTTCTTCCAAATGAGTTCTAGTATGTTTATCTACTTCACCAACATTATCAAATTCCATAGAACATACTCTACAACTGAACTTTACAGCTCGAAGAATACCTATTTGACTACCAGTTAATGGATTAGGTACTGGAAATATATTATTAGTACTATCCCCAATACTACATCTTAATCCTTCTTTCTTTTTATGGGAACTTATATGATTCCTGTAAAAATATTTTTAGATTACAATTAAAAAAAACATGAAGTATTAATTATAATTTTCATAAAAACTACCTGTAGGCTTGTTCATTTCTAAAAGTAATGTTACAACTGACACAACGATAATCTTGTTGCATTTGTTGTGTTAAAGATGGAGCAGTTACTTGTAAGATTGTGTTCTGTAGTTTTATTGTAGGATGGACAATTAAATAATGCTGTCTAACATCTTCCTTAAGTTCAAATGTTTCTGTACATGTATGACATTTATAAGGATACAATGGATCTGTGCTAACATGTAATCTTATATGCTTATCATAAGTTACTTGTGAACTACATTCAGTTTGGCACATATCACATATAAAATGAGTTTTAGTATGAAGATATAAAGATTGTGAAGATGAAAAAGTTTTATGACATATAGTACAAATATTTTTCTCTTCTTGATTATCATTCTTTTTCATTATATAATATTTATCACAGTGTTCACATTGAAATGCTGGTTTTGAATCATAAATAGATTTTTTCAATTTACATCCACCCTTTGCACAAATTGCCTTTCTATTAAATTTTTTTAGAGATTGATCTCTTTGACTCATATTATTCATATTTTCTGAAAACTGTTGACTTCCTTTTATTAATTGTGCCAATATTTTAAGTTTTTTTGATCTTGGACATGGTTTTCCATATATTTTATCTATTTGTATTGTTAAACAATATGATTTTTTTCCTATTTTTGCTTTTGGATACAATTCAGGTTTTATATGAGCAGATCCATTTAATGATATTTTATCAGAAGATATATCTATTTTATCTTGCTCATTTATTTTATCAGCCTGTAACATTATATTTCTTTATTAAGTTATTAAGTGATATATATAGAATTTAAAAGAAAAATAAAATTATTTACATTTTCTACTAATTGAATACAAGGACTTTGTGGTGGAGTTACTAAACTTTGCGAATCATTATCTAATTTTTTTTGCTTTGACGGTGGAGTTTTAGGTGACTCAGTTTCAGATCCATTTTCAATTTTACGTTTTTTTTGGTCATCTGATAAAGAATATATTTTCATTAATATATATATATATATATTGAAAAAATTGAAAAATCTAATTATTGTTATATATACCATCTACTTTATCAAAAATAGTTGGAACAGCATTAGAAACCAGCTCTTTTAAATCATTAAAACTCGTTTTGTCAAAATGCAATTCACAAAGATAAATTAGCTTATTACTTTCAGTATTTTCGATCAATTGACAATTCTTTAACCATTCATTCCTTTGACTGGAAACATAAATATAAAATCATAAATATATAAAATTATAAACCTAATAAAATAATCATAAACACATAAATACTCACTTTATTTCTTCGGGAAAACGGAATAATAAAATATCTTTCCCGTCGATTTTTGTATTTTCATTTGAAAGACAACCGTGTGCTTCACAGATTAACATTTTATTGGTAAAAAATTTTTTTTAAACAAATATAATTTTTCATAAAAAAAATAATAATAAACTCAATAAATAAAAACAAAATTGTATATATAAATTATAACCTAAAATCTGAAAATTTTATACAGATATTGTAGTTAATATTTGAAACCAAAAATTTACAAAAATAATAAGAAATAAATATTATTTAATAAACAGAAACCAATTGCATTTAAAAAGAGATAGTAATAATAATAGTTATATTATACAATGTAAACGGCTACAGATTAGTTGAGTGAATGAAATTTAACCAATCACGTTTTTCCCATGCTACTTGTCATAGTTTATATACATCGATTGGTTATCTTTTTATGCAACTGTCTCTCTAAACATTTATTATATTGCATTTTGGAACAACGTTACGCAAATCTATCTGAAAAAAGAAATTTATAAAAATGGATTGATATGTAATTTCTACATAAATGGAATAAAAACAAATAATATTTGCAATTCTTGATTTGATTCTTCTGTATTTCAAATAAGTATATAATTATTCTAAATAGTGTTAAAAATTGGGATTGTTATTAACTGAATTGAATTGAAAACCGATTGAAAAAACATGTAAGAAAAACAAACTATTGTAAAAATAGAATTTAATTTAACATGTACATATTTTATATATTAAATACATTCTTTCCAACTATTTTCATGTCTACTTTTTCTTAAATTATATTGCATTGTATTCTTCTAACCTTGATTTATTAAATTAAATTAAGACAAAAAGTCTAGTACATCTGTAATTTTGCAAAAAAAATTATGAAAATCTTCTTTCATTGCAACATCTATATTCATCACTTGAGTGTATTCATCAACACAGTTTAAATGTTAAAATTTTTTGGTACTATGTTTTTTCTATTCGGAGTAGATGTAGCATTTTTATCTAAAAAGACAAAATATTTATGCTTAATTACTAACACATTAATTGCTTCTTTTGTGAATATATATAAACCTTTAAAATAATGTCTTCTTAAATCATTAGAAAATAATTTAGAATATTTTGGAGAAATTTTCATTTTATTAGGAGAATTTCTTTTATAAATTAATAATTGTCTTTGAGGAGATTTATAATTTGTTGTAGCATTTTCTTTATTATCATTAAATTGATATCTTGATTTTTTAAATGAATCAAAAGAATTACATTTGTATCTTTTAAATAAATGTTTATATTTCTCTGAAAAATGAATTCATTGTAACAATTATAGATCTTATTTATGAATATTGTTTATTTTATAAAAAATAATACCTTTTATTGGAGAGACTAATATCTTTTTTGATATTTCTTCATCATTTATATAATTATCAATAAAAATATTAAATTTTGGTGAAGTTAAAATTGTTTTTAGATTTATAAAGGATAAAAAATCTTTATCTAATGTATAATTTATACTTTTCTCTTGTAAACTGTATTTAATATCACTTAAGCTATCAGAAATTTCTGTTATAAGATTTTGAAATATTTTTTCCATGCACTTAATCGTTTCACAATATTCAATTATTTTTGGATTCCAATGTGATATGTCCAATAACTTATTCTCTTTCAAATAATATTGTAATTGTTTTAATACTTGATCAATAATTGATAATAGAACACGAAATACTAAGCATCCATTTGTATATAATTCATTATTATTACTCTTTAAATAAAATATATTATGAATTATTTATATATATAATTTTTTAATATTAAATAGTAGTCTAATTTATCTATATTTTTTACCTGAATATTATTATTTAAACATAATGAAAGTATTCCATTATTTATTTTTGGAAGATTTTTTCCATCAAAGTATTTAAAATAACGTAAATTTAAAATTAAATCATATAATGTATTACTAAGAATTTTTAATTTTTGTAATTTCATATTTTTTTGTTTTAAAAATTTAATATTTTGATCAATATTTTTTTTCCATACTGCAAATTTAAATTCAGATATATTATAATTTAATTTTTAAATTGATTATTCATTAATATAAATTATTAAATACAAACAATTTATAATTTCTGCATCATCAATATTTGTTAATCGCTTTGCTATTAATGGATTAATTGAAAATATAGACATTAACTTTTCTATATTCTCTTTTACTTCAAAGATAGCAGTTTGAACTTTTGCTAAATCAGTAGATTTACATCTAAAAAATTTATTTTTTATATAAAACATATTTTAATACATGTATAATTTTTGAAATATTAAATAAAAATATGTTTTACTGCATATAATATTCAAAGGATTTTAAATTTAATTTTATATTTTCATGAAATTTAGAAATAGTATTATTCCTTTTTATATTTATTATATTAAAATATGTTTGAGTTATGTATTTATTATCACCAATGTTAGGAGCTTGCAACAATTGTATTTGACCTATAAAAAATTAATTATTAATATATAATAAAATATTATACTACTCATTTTTTTTACATTTATTAATAATATAAGCTCTTAAGCTAATTTCTGATATTTTCCACATAAGAATCAAAATTTTTCTTCCTCCTGCTTGTAATAAATGAGACATAATTATTGGCGGAAAATTTATATCTGGATTTTCAGTTGCTAAAATTTTTAAATATTCTGTTATTTCTATACGATATTTTTTTTCATCCATTTTATTTAAAAGTGGCCATATGACCATTTTTTGAAAGCGTGTTGCATTATGTACAGATAATAAATAATGAGAAATATGAATAAAACCTAAAGTATTTGGTTTATTAAACATTTCCTACAAAAACTTTATTACATTAAAAATATAAATAATAATTATATATTATAAATAAATTTAATTTTGATTATAATACCTTATTAAAGCTTTTTTTACATTCATAAGATGCAGGCACAACTTGCATAAGTAAAAATACATTTTTATAAAAAGATTCATTAATCTCCATAATTCTTTATTTTTTTAATTAAATTATTTTGTAACTCTATATACAATAATTCTACTGTTATCTTTATGAATCAGACAAGTTCTCCTAAAGGATATTAGGAAAAAAATATTTGTATACAAAGTATAAGTTCATAACTATATGTGTAAGAATATATATATATGAATACATGTAAATATAATAAATCTCAAATATATAACAAGAGAAAGTCTATTAAGTAGTCATAATAAGAAGTATTGTTTACACTGATGATTCTATATCTTAGTACTAATGGAATTACTTCAACGAATTTTTAAAAAAATGAGCATTTCTAGGTACAAGGCGGCGCCACTGGATTGTACCATAGCAACTCATCTCGGTGTCGTCGTGAAAGCTTTCAACACTATGAGTCAGTGAAGTGTATCTGTCGGACAGTGGCGTGAAAATGGCGGTGTAAAATGGCAGGACGTAGATCGACGTTGACAAATGCCGATTCCCTGTCGGGATCTGGAAACACTGATCCTTTGAGGGAATTATTTGAAGCATGTAAAACTGGAGATCTTGCGAGGGTAAAGGCGTTGGTTACACCGAAGACGGTCAATGCTCGAGACACTGCCGGACGCAAGTCCACCCCCCTGCATTTTGCAGCTGGTAAAAATAATTTTTGCATCAGCTTCTTTTTTTCTTCTGCATTGACAAAATTAAATAAATAACTTGATATTTTCCTTGTTTTATTATCTACGATTGAAAATAGGATTTTATTGTCACGTCATGAATGCAAAACAATTTAAACACTTAGTTTTCAATGTTGTCATTTTATAATTCAAATAATAATTTTTTGAATTTAATTACATTTATAACAAACCGAAATATATTTTTTAATATGATATAATTATTATAATAAATATTATATTCCTCATGACGTTTTAAAATTTATTTAAGTACTCATTTTCTATTTTTAATACACAGGTTATGGTAGGATAGATGTAGTAGAATTTCTGCTTTCTGCTGGAGCATCTATTCAAGCACGTGATGATGGAGGTTTACATCCCTTACATAATGCTTGTTCCTTTGGACATTCTGATGTTGTAAGACTTCTCTTAGAAGCAGGAGCTAATCCTAACACTAGAGACAATTGGAATTATACTCCTTTGCATGAAGCTGCAATTAAAGTATGATTTTTTTATCTGATTTATTATTTCTTATCCATTTTTTTATAGTAATTTTATTAAATTTTATATTTTGATTATTCTAGGGTAAAATAGATGTTTGTATTGCTCTGCTACAACATGGAGCAGATGCTAATATAAGAAATACAGAAGGAAAAACAGCATTAGAATTGGCAGATCCTGCAACCAAACCAGTATTAACAGGAGAATATAAAAAAGATGAATTGTTGGAAGCAGCAAGATCTGGAAATGAAGAACGCCTTTTACAACTTTTAAATCCTTTGAATGTAAATTGTCATGCAAGTGATGGCAGAAGATCTACTCCATTGCATTTAGCTGCTGGATACAATAGATCTAGATTAGTGCAGATTTTATTACAAAATGGTGCAGATGTACATGCAAAAGATAAAGGGTAAATTCTTGTAGTTATAATGTTCTATGATAATTATTAAAAGTTGATATAAAATAATTGGTTTACAATAATGATGTTATAGAGGTCTTGTTCCACTTCACAATGCTTGTTCATATGGTCACTTTGAAGTAACTGAAGCACTTCTTAAACACGGTGCAGCGGTTAATGCCAGCGATTTATGGGCATTTACTCCATTACATGAAGCTGCTAGCAAATCCAGAGTCGAGGTGTGCTCATTACTTTTAAGTGAGGGTGCCGATCCGACTCAATTAAACTGCCATAGTAAAAGCGCCATTGATGTAGCCCCAACATTGGAATTACAAGAAAGATTGGCATGTATGTTTTCTATGTATATTAAGACTATTCTTCTAGAAAAACACACAGAACATGATTTTGTTAGATACACTTTAATTGTAGACGAATACAAGGGACACTGCCTCTTGGATGCCTGCAGGCAGGCAGATCTTACTAAATTAAAAAAGTACCTGTCCCCAGAAGTTGTAAACTTTAAACACCCATATACTAGGGATACACCACTGCACTGTGCCGTTGCATCTCCTTATCCCAAGAGAAAACAAGTAATAGAATCTTTAATTAGGAAAAATGCTGCCTTAAATGAGAAAAATAAAGACTTTCTTACACCTCTTCATGTTGCTACTGATCATTCTCATTATGATGCAATGGATGTGCTACTTAGACATAATGCAAAAGTCAATGCTTTAGATGGATTAGGGCAAACTGCACTACACAGGTACCGTGAATTGTCTAGTCTTGTCTTTAAAGTTTTTTATTTCTTTATTTTATGAAAAAAGACGTAATTTCCTTATTTAAAAATATTGTTGCATAAACAGGTGTGTTAGAGAAGACAATGTGCAAGCTTGCAGAATATTGTTATCATACAATGTTGATCCATCTATAGTATCACTTCAGGGCTATACTGCAGCACAAGTAGCTGCAGAAAATGTCCTTAAAATATTACAAGGTTCGAAACTGATTCATTTTAGATACAAAGACTTTTCAACCGAAGTATGTTTCTGTTCTTATTTTTGTTTTATAGACCCACCAAGTGGGACAGATGATGCGGAAGCGCAGTTGTTAGAAGCAAGTAAGTCTGGTGATTTAGCGGCAGTAGAAAGAATTTTACGAACGAATCCATTGGCTGTTAATTGTCGTGACTTAGATGGTCGACACTCCACACCGCTGCATTTTGCAGCGGGATTTAACAGAGTGCCCGTAGTCGAGTATTTATTGGCACATGGAGCAGATGTACACGCCAAAGATAAAGGGTTAGCAGTTTATTGTATAATTTATAAAAATTAATTATAATTTAATTATAAATATTATTTATAAAAATTCAAAAATTAATTGAAACAAATTTTTAATTTCATATATTTAGTGGACTTGTTCCCTTACATAATGCCTGCTCTTATGGTCATTACGAAGTAACGGAATTGTTAGTAAAACATGGTGCATCAGTGAATGTTGCGGATTTATGGAAATTTACTCCACTTCACGAAGCTGCTGCTAAAGGAAAATACGAAATAGTTCGCCTATTACTAAGACACGGAGCAGATGCGACTAAAAAAAATAGAGATGGTGCA